ATTATTCACAATTAATTCACAGAATGGTTAAAGATACAGAAAATTAAAATTTTAAAAAAGAAGTAAAAGACTTCAACCCTTGATGAAGAGATGGCATAATTCTGACAGTAAAATAACAGAAGATAGTGTAATTTTCAAATATAGAAGGAAAAAAAAAAAAAAAAAAAAAAAAAAAAAAAAAAAAGGAAAAGAGGGTTCAGGCAGGTATCTAAAGCATTTAAAGAGGGCATCATGGCAAAAGCAGTTTAAATTTCTGATTTTACATATGATAATAGGGGATGAGAATTAATTATCCAAACATATTCATACTCAACTAAGGACCATACCTCTTTTTCCAATTTTATAATTGAATACTTGTTTGTCAAGCATTAATTGGGAATGATCAAATGAATTGACCATTTAGACATTTCTTAACAAGAACATTGTCCAGGATGCACTGCAAGGAGTTGATCAAAATTAGCCCTCAAGAAAGGAAGGATAGACAATTTCAAATATCTATTTTTTTTTATGGTAACTAGCACCACCATACCCAACAGATAGGGAGAGATCATGATGTTAATATAATAATAAATTTTGATGAGATTGATGACCAGAGATAACGTTTTCAAGTCAACTATCTATTCTAAAACATTTACTTTAATTATACATAAAATAAATATTTTAATTGAATATTAAATTACATTTTTAGTACAATGAACAAAACATATAGGTAATATAAGTAATGCAAATAACTGTTGATTGTCCAACATTATAGTTTGCAGTTAATATAATTACTTTTCAATTCTTAAACAGGTAATCTCTGTGAATATGTATTTACACACACACAACTTCTTTATCGCTAAAAAAAAAAGGCTGGTATGAAAAATGCAACGACAGAATACAGAATCAGCGATTTAAACAAATCTAGGAAATACCATGAGGACATTAAAACAAAATTATGATTACAGTACGCAGCTAGATCTGCAAGTTTTTTAACAGACAAAAAAGAATTAAAAAATTACTTAACGAATGAATAAATGAAAAAACTTGGCAGCAGATAGGTTGGAAATATTAACAACTGATACTTAACTTTTTTAATACTAAAAAACACATGTAAAATAAACAAATTTCTAAACTTAAGATATCTGGCATCTACAGGTATGTAGCAGTGAAGTGAATGCCAGAGATACTTTCATGATAGTAACATATTAAATTTTTCTTGAAATTATGAACTGCAAAATTTTTTATATAAATATGTAAGTATTCATCAAGTCATCTGAGTTACCTAACAACTCACATATATATATTTAAAGTCCGAATTTCAGAACATATGGAAACTGATCAGTTAAATTAATTTACTCAGAAAAAGTGAATTTTAAAGAAAACTAGTTACTACTTTTGGATTTTTAAGTACCTTTTCTTTATACGAATAATTTCAATTTGTAAATTTCTAATGAAATTAACAAATAATTAAGTTCATTTCATACAAAATAGATTGAAAAATAAATTGTCATAACTAAACAGCCCTTTGCACTAAACTGAGCAGCAATTTAATAAAGAAAAGAGTTCATAACTCTGAAATAAGTGAGAAAATAATGAAGTATCATTTACTGGAACTAAAAATAAGAATATGAAATAAATAAACTGAACCAAGTTCAAACTAAATTTTACATTAAAAAAAAACTGAAACAAGCCTAAATTAAATCTTGCACTGAATAGCATGCAAAAAGCTGAAGATTTCATAGGATGATTCCATAAATTTAATGAATAAATTTTCTGATCTTTTTGAAACAGCCAGGTCTTGTTAAAAAATAAATAAATAAATAAATTGAAATCCCCCCCTTTTTTTAATTCTTGATTAATTCCCCTGTATTTTAATATAATGTGCTCATTTTTCATTTTTATTTTAAAGTATCAAGTTCTGTCTGTGCTGAAAAGATTATACAAATTATTCATTCTAAAGAAGTATGATAGAAATAAGATTTTAATTACTAAAGAAATTAATAATAAATTGCTAGTAAATAAAACAAAAATTAGCAAATAACAAAGAAGTAAATTAAAATGCTGCAAAATATGAAAGAGTTTGAATCGCCTGAACATTTTTACCTCATCACAGAAAAATATATTACCTTTTTATTAGGTTTGGATTAATTTAATATAGAATCAGCAGAAAAGTGAGAGTTAAAAAAATACTGAATTTTACAGCCATGAATCAAGATAATTTTAAACATTATTAGCATCAAACTATGATTACAATTTAGAAAAAAATAATAATTAAAAGCTAAATTAGCAATTTTTACAGCTGGCATACTATATACTTGAGGGCTACTATTCTACTTATATCTATTGGGATGGTAAAAAGGATTCATTTGGATTTTATAAAAATTCTGGAACATCTGCCTCAAGTCTTCCGGAATAATTTACTAACCTGCATAACTCCTGTATATGTAACTCTTATAAACTTACATACTTTTTGTATAATTTGTAAAGAGATTACAGCCTATCATTTTAGGAAGTCGATGAAGTGAGTTGCTTCAATTATGATTTAAGTTTTCTAAAGTTAAAAGAATTACTTCATTATGTAAGCCTTAGTGTACTGTTGTCATATACAAGTTTTAAGGTTTACTGGAAACTTCATAAATGTTTACATGAGGCATTTGGAAAAAGTATTATGTCCCATAAAATTACCAACTATTGATTCAAGTATTTTAGATGAGAAAACTACACTACTCAGAATGACCTTCACCTGAACAGCTATTAGATGTGGGTAATGAAGGATTGTAGCATTTAATGGGATGATTTATGGAACCAGTTTTGTACTTGACAACTTTTAAAACAAAGTCTTAGATATGACTATTTAGTTCATCTGCCATAATTACACAAGATATTTAAAAATTTAGAAGCACTAAAATTTATCATTTTTGTTTTTTCAAATAAAAAAGAAAATCTTGAAGACATATAGACATGAAATGGACGGCTAATTGTATAGAATACAAATGTTTCAGTAATATAAAAAATAACTACTACTTATTTTGGAAAAGTGAAGATCTCCAAAGGCTATAATATTAATCTTAAAATGTTTGCAGTAAACTGCAGTAGAGCAATTTAATCTAAGCCTGTAATTGTAGTAGCTTAACACTTTTCTATGTATGTAATATATATATAGATAGATAGATTTTTAAAGCACGGAAAAATTAAGGTAAAAATATGATGGATTTTTTCATATAATTTTATTCTCTTATTTTAATCAAGTTGTTATAATGTTTATGTATAAGATAAACATGGAAGTAATTACTTACTAAATGTAATTTTACTCAGTATGCTGAAATTAATCTGAAATTATTAAAAATTATATGAAGGAATATATAGAAAGTATAGCTCTACTAACCTGAATTAATTGTAGGGAAGCCATTTTTGATAAACCACAGAAATTATTTTCGATAGTTAAAAAAGAAATAAATATGTATTACACAACTATTTCAATACTTTGGATGTTTATATTAGTTTGCAAGATGTGTAACATGAGCATTTTCTTGCAAATGCCTACAAGCATGTCATGATATAATTTCACATGAATTAACTACAGACGTTATCTCCCAGATAACATTATTTAACAGTTCCCTACTTTTGCATTCATTATTCTGAAATTACTAATTTTCACTTTATTTTTAGAGAATGAACCTAGAAAATGACTTAAAAAAAAAAAAAAAAAAGAGTTGAAAATGATTGTTTTCAAGAAATGATTGGTAACATTAATTCAATGTTACTACTTTTTTTTTTACAGTTTCAAGTAAGTGGGATTTCATCGAAGCAGGCCTTACTGTATGATACAAATAATACACTACGGTATTTTTCTTTTGACAAGTACAAAGTTTCTACAGAAGATTAATCCCTTTATATAGCAGTAAATTTTAGTTGTCAAAATAAGGTTTATTATTTGATTTCCCATGAAACTACTTTTTAAACAATGCATGTTGAATTATTTCTTAATTATTATTATTTAATGAGTATTCTCTTCCCCTTATTCATATTATGTTTGTAACTATAAAATAGTTTAGAAATGCACTATTTATCATGAATAAGTATACAAGATGTTTAAAAAGGGTATTGGCAAGCTTCCTTTAATTTTGCTCCGAATAACAAATTTTCTTAAAATATGTTACAGAAGCTATGGAAATAACAATGTACATGGAAGAGTTTGGTAAATGTAAAATTATTTGCTATACTCACTATGCTATAAAAATTTTTATTAGTCATCATGATTTAATTAGTTAAAATAAAATGTTCCATACCATTAAGAGTTAAATCCATAGATATATGCTTAGCAAATATTTTCTGCAACATAGGTTTGCTACCAATTGAGGGATGAAAAATAGAATATTAATTGCTAAAAGCTAGTTTTAGTGTTCTCCTGATATCTGGTTTCAAAATTTTCCTTGGATTTAAAGTTAAAAAAGAGGCAAAGAAAAATGAATCAATAAATTCCCCTCTTAGAATGTTGCACACAAAAATTTAACTTCTTATTTCTAATACAGTAAAGAATAATACTTTAAATATATATTATATATATATATATATATATATAATGAATATTAAAACTGGCATTGTTATCCATCAGGAACCTTCAAAGAAGTTGAATTTATTTTTACAGAATCTTGTCCACTCCAGTGAAAGTTTCCATAAAATTCAGCATCTTATTTAAAAAAATTCAGTAAGTGAAAATATATGTCTAAGATCAAAGTTAAGAAATTAAAGCCCACAGCCATTTGTTTTTAGCACTCTCCATGTTCAAAATCTTATAAAAATTAAGTTGGTGTCTATTGACAAAATTTTGTAAACAATATGAGAAATAAAGACTTATTGATGTAAAAAACTTTTTATCTAATTTTATATGCACAGAAATCACAAAATTATCTTTAAGCAGATCTACATAGTTGCAGCATTCCTTAAATCATTACATGTTGATCACCATGATGCATATCATAAAACACTCAAATGATACTGTTTACAACATAAAATATCTAATCAAACTGGCATACTGAAAAGACTGCCTTTGAATCTGTTTTTGTACGACTACTTTGAAGATACCTAGCTAATTCAGTAGAATGGTTTTTAGCAACATGCAGTCGCATGTTAGTTTTTTGCACGAAACCTTTGCTACAAACAGGACATTTATATGGTTGTTCTCCAGTATGAAGGAATTTATGATTATTCAATACATGCTTATGAGTAAACCTTTCTCCACATTGATCACAGGCATACGGACGCTCCCCTGTATGACTTTTCAAATGGGTTCGCAGTCCACCTTTCTGGTAGAAAGTTTTCTGACACAATGGGCAACTGTTGGATCCACTTACTGAGTGAGTCATCAGATGATCTCCTAAACAGCGAATATTCTGACAAATCAAATGGCACAGAATACATTTATATTCATTCTCTGAGTTCACAGATGTCTCTTTTATAGGAGCACGAAAACCTTTCTGAAAAACTAAGACAAATTATATTTAATACAAATTAATAACATTTACAAATGGCAGAAATTTTTTTCTATGTTCATTCAAATATATACACAAAATTTTACAAAAAAATCAATAAAAAAAGAAATTTTACACTAAATATTAACAATGATACATCAAACTGAGACTCACAAGTCTGCACAGCACAAAAATAGAGTTACCATAAATAAATAGAAAATTTATATAGATAGAAAATTTTATCTTTGAAGTTATACATACATATACAGATTTTATTAAATCAAATACAGGAAGGTTCAATTCTTATAAAAACAAGATGAACTTAACTAAATTTCACCAATCTGCACACAAATATATATTGCACTCTCACTTCAAAACTGAAGCTCAAAAATCATTATCAAAGAAATTAGTCTACTGAAACTGCACAATTTTTCTTGCAAGTTTTTTCAAAATAAAATAACAAACCTCCAAATTACCATGCATTTTTAATATTTTAAGTAAATTTGAAGCTGTGTTTACATTTAAAACCACTTATACAAGTCTCCTTAAATTTTATATTAACTCTAGAGATCATATAACAATAACAGAATTTGGGAAAGACCATAAAATATACATCAACCAATCTTTTTATTTTTTAGTCTTTTAACATATTTTAAATTTTGAAGAAATGCATAAACTTGGAATGAAAACATCATATATCATTTTAGTAAGAAAAAGAAATTGAGAAAAATATGCAGTTACAATAAAAAGAGAAAAATGTGCAGTTACAAAAACAAGGACCTTTTTTTTTTATTCATTTTTTTAAAGAAGTTTTGAAGCCAAATTTCGACAGCAGGCTAAAACTTTTTCTTGATAAAACCAGCTTTTACACAAAAATATAGGGTGTTTCAAAGGTAACTGCATGACTATCTCTTGAAATATAGGTAGATCAGTGATTCCACAACTAACAAAATGAATGAATTAAAGGTATATTACAAGAATTTTGGTCATACGGCCCTTTTTAGCAAAAGCATATATGGATTTTTAATATTTACATATACAATCTATGCAAAAAATTTTCATTGCTACTTATTTTTCTTAAGAGAAAATTATAAGAATAATAATTCTGTGATACACAAAATTACCTTCACATCATTGTCAAAATTATATAAGCTAAACCATTTCTGTTGATGGGGAGGGACAGAAAAATGCCAATTTTACACACTATAAATACAAATTATTATACATTAGACATATTATAAGCAACATATTATATTTACAAACTATTATATATGAAAACTGAACTACAATGGGAATTTTTTCTAAAATTTTAACACTTCCGCAAATACAAATTTGAAATTCACAGTAATATATTTATGTTTAGAAGAGTACCTTACTAAAATGGCAATTAAAAACTTACTTGCCTAACTGTTTTTAGAGAAGCAAATATTTTAATTAATGACATTTTGGGCAATTTTGATCGTAGGATACCCAACTTATATGGGAATGCAACATTTTTCTTAATGATATTTTTATCTGGCTCATATGGGGCTCATATGAGAGTATAAATTTTATTCATAATCTACTTTATTTGATTAATTTCTGAAACTCAACAATTATTCATTATTATATAGTCTACAAATAATTATTCAAGAAATAATTCATTGCATAGTTTTTTGAAATACCCTGTACAATTTAAAATAAAATTCATAATTTTTTATATTTTTAGCAATACCAATTTTGATCATACTCAAAGATCCAGTTTTCTGAAAATTTAGAACACAAGGTGATAAATTCAGTTTTAATGAAAAAATAACTAAAAACCTGAAAGTAAGTGATCAACATGTAGGATGAAAAAGTACAGTCTTCATATATTATATTGCTTCTTTAAGGCTACACATATGCACTGCATAAAGTTACATAAACTGTCTTCCTTTATTTCCTTGAAATATCTGCTGTAATTGCCAAAACCAGAGCATGAAAAAAATTTGGCACTGTGTGATATTTGAATATAACATTTCCTATCAAGAATAAAAAGAGTACAGCAACATACATAGATACAATATTTCACTCCAATAGAAAAAACATTTGATCCATTCAAATAATATGAGATTACAAAGTTTCATCACAAAATCATGCAGAACAGTCAGGTTTCAAAAGAAATCAAAAAAATTTACTGACAATTCTCATATTACTAACTATTCAGGTACGAGATTACATCTCTCTAGGAGAGGTAGTGCATAGGCAGGTAGTTGTGATAGATGATTTTTCAGTGATTGCCAAAAAAAAAAAAAAAAAAAAAAAAAAAAATCAGGTACCCTGTTGGAAACTGCATAGTTAATAGTTGCACTTCTTCGACATATATACTAGTTTCAAGATATCTATACAATAAAATATTCCAATGTGTCCCATACAGCAAAACAACAACTATAAAATGGAAGTAACTTGAGTCCACAGTAGAAATTAAGTGAACAGGTTTGTTCACAAGCTATTATGAACTTTAGAGAATTTGTCTATTACTACATACAAACTAACTAATCTAAGTTATCATACAAATTATTAAATGTTTTTACTATACATTTAACTTTTTTCCAAACTACCTTAAGATATTTAAACAATGAGTTAACTAAAATTGCAGCTAAAGAAATTTCATTTCACTATTTCATTCTTCAACAAAAACAATATATATATATATAAATGTACAACTTAATTTTTTTCAAGTGAACACAGTTCAATTATTTCTGTACAATTTACTAAATAAATACTTATGTTTTATTCACTATCAAGAATTTTATTTAGTGTCTCAATGTATGTTAAATAAGTTGCTAATAAATATCTGTGTGCCTAAAAAAAGCATGTCTTTAACATTCATCATATTTTTATTTAATAATACACAGTTTTACTCTATTAGCTTCAGAATCCATCTGCAATATGCTCTTCATTTTTATTTCTTCACAGATGCCCTAATCCACTTACTTATTATCACTAAAGATGAATAATTTCATGAAATTTTTCACAAATGCAACACTGAAAACACTAAAAATCACATACACTTGAAACAGAGGTAGTACTTAAATATAAAGATATATGGAAAATGAACTTAAAAAATTAGAATTTCAGAGAAACTTCAATGATAGATTTAAAAAAATATAGAAAAAAATCCATTTTTTTTTTTAAATCTATCATTGAAGCTAAAAAGGAAAATATCTGACATTTAAAACACAAGTACTATGCATTTTACTTGCACAACATCAATTCCCATTGCTAAACTTTATCCTACTGAATAAAGCTGTATTTTTTATTTAGTTTTGGTGCAATCAATTCCCCCCCACCCAAAAAAAAAAAAAAAAAAAAAAGAAACTATAACAGTCTAGAATAATTGTATTCCAAAATTTTTCATTATTAATGTAGAAACAGAACAAAAATCCATTAACCAAAATCTCTGGAACCCAGGTTACCACCTAAATTACTTTGATATCAAAGTTCCTGATAAAGGATAATACATAAGTATCTTAAAAAGAATCACTCAACATTAAGTGGTTTTTCATAAAGTTTACAACTCACCTTAACAGTTCAATCAAGTTTTAAAATTTAACAAGAATATCATGTTTAAGCAAGAATTGGTGTACCTAACTATTTTTGAAATGGTAAGTACATACAAACGTACCATACTAAGGTACAGAAACAATTTTGGTTTAATCATATTAAATTTATGACTTCTTCATCTATTTAAATCTGAGTAATAAAATGTAGCATTTGAGATATAGCAATTTTTATATCTGGCATAGTTTTGTAAAATGCCAACAGTACAGAAATATATTATGATTTGCTTTTTATCTTCTATAAAAATGGGGCAGCTATTTTATCTTCTATATGAATATTATTTTTCACTACTTATACAATTATCTATTGCTCATATTGAATACACAGTAGATGTGACATACACTAATATGTTTAGAAGTACATATTTTATTTTTATGACTAATTATTACATCTCTGCACCTACAAGTCAAAAGAGTTAATTAAATCCCAATGCTGATGATAAATTATTCAAACTTGAGTACATTTTCTTTGGATTTTTCCTTTCTGATGGAAATATTTTCTATTTTATTAATGAGAAATAAATACATAACAAAAAACATTATTTTTATACAGTCAAAAGTCGTTAATCTGGACTCGTCGGGACTTCGGCGATTCCGGATTATCGATTTTTCCGGATTATAGATCATCAGTTTAAATCTCGTAAGATGGCATGCAGAAATTCTAAAATTTAAAATATGAAATCGTAATTTATGAAATAAAGAACAATTATGATCTAAAGGGTATCAAAATTTACAGAAAAAAGCTTAATATTTATTTGTTTAGTTTATTAAACATTTCTTTCAATGTAAGTTGTTTAAGTTGCTTCGTTTTATGTGATAATACTTTCTCTTTAATTCTATAAACAGACATTATTTCTTGTTCAGTTACAAAGTTCCGCTGTTCAAGTCCCGTAATTGCTGTGCCGAGAATACCGACTAACTTGTCAATCGAAATTTTTTCGTTTTCACTAACCTCTCTGTTACCTTCTTCATGTCTTTATCCATTTTTTGCAGCAATTCCACTTTTTGTTTGATGGACATCGAAACATACTTTCGTTTTGTAGATCCTTTGGGAGCTCCAGCATCGGAAATTCTATTTGACATAATCGAAAGTTCAAGTTTACTTTTATAAAATTGCTCTTACAGTCTGCAAAAAATAATAAGCCGGTTCCAATTGATAATTGGACAATTTTAGCTCATACCGTTCGTTATACATAAAACGCTCACGCGAAAACGTATTCTGCGCTTGCGTACACGCATATGTGCCAGTCGTAAAGGTCTTACGCACACGCGTAAACGCCTATTCGCATGTGTCAACGTGGCGCATGCGCAGAAAGTGTTTAGCTTTGAGGTCCGGATTATGGATGTCTGAATTAACGACTTTTGATTGTACTAAACATTTAGTGAATAAAGAATATAAACCAAAAATGAGGTCTTATGGATTTTTCATGACA